CATGGGGAGTACAGACCAAAAAAAAAAAAAAGACTCCCCACTCTCAAGGAGCTTACATTCTTTAGAAGGGGACGAGATATATAATATATGCAGGGACTATGGTGACTCAACAGGAGGTATTTGGGGAAGGAGGGATCAGGAAAGGCTTCATGTAGAAGGTGGCCGGTGTTTGAGCTGAGTCCTGAAGGAAGGGATAGATTTTGTGAGGCCAAGATAAAGACAGAGTGCGTTCCTGGCCTGGCAGATGGCCAGTGCAAAGGGTGGTCACCAGTGTCAGAGGCTGTAGAGAGGTTCAGAAGGATGAAGAATGAGAAAAGAGCTTCAGATTCGACAAGTAAGAGATCACTGGTGGTAATAATAATTGGAATAGGGACTGGCCCTCTGATTTATTAATTCAGGAAACACCCAATGAGGAAACTCCTTCTACCGATACAGATTGGCACTTTCTCTGCAGTTTACAGTCTTAAAGAATTGCCTAGGCACTAAAAGGTTAAGTGACTTACCCAGGATCACTCAGCTAGTATGTGTCAGAGATGGGACTTGAACCCAAGGTCTTCCTAGCTTCGAGGCCAGCTCTTTCTACCCACTATGCCATACTGCCTCTGATAATAATATTAGCTAACATTCAAAAAGCTCTTAAAGGTTTGCAAAGCACTTGATATACATTATCTTATTTAATCCTCATCACAACCCCGTGAGGTGGATACTATTATTATCACCATTTTATCCATGAGGCTGAAAGACATTAAATGACTTGCCCAAAGTCACACAACTAATAAGTATTGGAGACAGGATTTGAACTTGTCTTTCTGATTCTGAGTCCAATAACTTCAGAGCGAGCAGTTTTTGTTGACTGATGAAGTTAGAGGCCAAAATGTAAAAGGTTAAGGAATGAGAAGAGAGGAAGTAAAGATGATAAGGATAGACAGCTCTTTGAGGATGGGGGAGACTTAGAAATGTTTCAAGGTGACAGGGAAGGAACCATTAGATAGGGAGAGACTGAAGAGAGAGGAATGATTGAGAGCACAATCTGCTGGAGAAGCTAGGTGAGGGGTTGGGTTCAAGTCTCATAGGACACTGGAGGAAAAGACATAGTGGGGAATGATGCCAAAGGGCTTTGAGATGAAGAGAAGGGGCGAAGAGGGAGCTTATGGTAAATGGCCTTCATTTTCTTAGTAAAGTCAGAGGCCATGGCGGTCCTGTACTGAGAGGGTAGCTAGAGGGGGAAGGAAGTATAGAAGGCTTGAAGAGAGAAAAGAAGATTTGGAATAGCTTTTGTGGGGAGTGGGATAGGGTGATATTAGGCAGAGATAAAAAGATTGCTTTGCGGCAGTGAGGGCCCAGTTGAGGAGAATGGAGAAGGACCAAACCTAGGAGACATTTTGAAGGAAGAAACAACAGAACTTGTTGCCATATCGGTTGTAAAGAATGAAGAAGTATGAGCTTGAGTTTCTAGCCTCAAAAACTGGTCAAATCGTGTTTGCACTGACTGGGAGTTGTATCCAATTTAGAAAGAAAATGATGAATTCAGTCGTGGATGTATGTGGCATTTGAGGTGATGGTGGCATGTCCATGTTGTCCAAATCCAAGGAGCTGGAAATAAAGAACTTTAGGGAAAGTGGAAAGTCAGGACAGGAGACGGTGACAATGTCACAGTCGTTGAAGGCATGGGAATGAAGGAGAAGATCAGGGATGGGAGAAGACATGAAAGGAGACAGAGAACTTCAGATCAAGAGGAACCTTAGAGATCATCTAGTCCAACACACATTTTGTAGACAAGGATAAATGAAGAGAAGGGAAGTGATTTTCCCCCGGTGACACAGCTAGTTCTTGGTAAACATCCCTGGTCTCTGTCTTTGAGTGTATATGTACACTTTTTATGGCCCCAGACGCCTGAAAAGGGCCACATACCTACGTGATCCTGGACTGGACAGAACAGACCACAGAAATGAATGAGGAATGCTTCCGTGGCCCTTTTTCTAGGTCTGCCATAATTCTTCAGGATCCTGTTTCAGTTTCTTTCTGTCAGATTCCTTCCCCAGAAGAAATACAGTCTGGGAAGGATGGAGTGTGTTTCTAAGTACTCACACTCTGCCTCTTTGAATAGCCAAAACACCAAAGGGCTGTCTCAGCATGAGCTGCTTCTTCTTCTTCTCCCTGAAGTTCTTTGACCAAGTGGAGGAATTTAGCACCGTACCCCTTGAATCATTTGACAGCAGGGAAAATGTAGCTGCCTTCCTTCGAGCCCCCTGGGATAAGCCAACCCTGGGACCAGAAGGCAGGATCAAGAGCTGGAAGGGGCCTGAGAGATTGTCCAACCTCCTCAGTTTATAAAGAAGAAAACAGACCCTGAAAGAGGAAGGGACTGGCCCAAGGTCACACATCTAGTAAATGGCAGAGGCAGGAATTGAACTCAGATCCTATGAGCCCAAATCGGTGTTCTTTCTGCTATGCAAGGCTGTCTTTCATTAGTGACCAGATACATCACTGACCCATTCTGGAAAGCCTGGCTTCTAGATGAGATTCCCCTAGTAGCCTGAGCCCCAGGAAATCCTGCCACCTTAGCTGGCAACATCAGGGTTTGCTAATCTTCTTAGGGAGTCATCCCATGCCCATCTAGCCTTCTGCCCCTGAGGATTTCAAGGCCCTTTGCTGAGACAACACTGACTTACCCTGAGCAGCCTCAGTATTCTCCTCTGTAAAATGGTTGTCCTCAATAATCTCGAAGGTCTCTTTCAGCTCTAAATCCCATGGCCCGACTTGGGAGCATCAGGGATTTCAGGAAGTATAAACTTTGAGAGACCATTGCGGAATGCAGCAGCCCCATGTAGTGTAGAATCTGCTTGTGCCAGAAGAAGGAAAGCACAGCACGGGTCCCATAAATGCTAAGCTTCAGCTTGTTTGACTCTAGTCACCTCATCCCGCTGCAGAAACACACTAATGCCTAAAGTGCTGTAATAACCGATGGCCTTGACTGAGTCACGCAGAGAATAATAAGGCGCAGATATTGTCGAAGTTGCCAGGCTCCAGATAAATCCCATTAGCAACATGACATGGCGCCTGATGCTGACTAGCAGCCGGGAGCAGGTAGAGAAGATCAGATAACGGCAGCAAATCAGGCCCAGCGAGGGGCCCGCCACTGGGCTGGGAGGCTCTGCCTCTGGGACAGACGGCCCAGCTGAGCTCAGCCAGTCTTTAGAAATATGCTTCTAAGGGCAGTCTGCAAAGGGGTCAGCCAGGGAAGTGTCACCAAGGGGTGAGGAGGTCTTAAATCCACAAGGAAGTAATCCATAGGCTCTTGAGCTGGAAGGCAAAACCCCTTGCATTTTTATGGAAGAAGAAACTGAGGGTCTGTGTGACTAGATGACTTACTCAAAGGCATAGACGAGTAAGTAACCAAGCTGGAATGGCAAGTCAGGCGTCAGGCATCATCCTGCTTGGTTTGGAGCCTGGCAGTGTGACCTTGGGTCCCCCCCCATTCCCCATCCCGTTTCCTCCTCTGAGCTCTCAGGTTCTGATCTGTGAGCCTCTAAGTTCAGTGTGTGCTCCACTGTGAGGGAGGTCCATATGCGTTCTAGGTGGGAGAGGTTCAGGAGGAGAATGAGTCTGGGAGCCTTCCTGCCCCTGGCCTCTTTGGCCACGTGGGGCTATGGCTGGGCAGGGAGGGGGGCTAAATCTGCTGCTTCTCAGGATGAACCAGGCCAGTGTATCATATTTGTCTGAAGACAGGCCATCCTGTTTCCCAAAATCGGGTTTGCTTAGGACCAGAGTGAGGCCTAGGATCGTCTGTCAGTAGCTTGTCTACGTGACTAGACGTGCTTGGGGGAGGTAGGGGAGTGAATAGGCTGGGGAACAGGGAATACAAGGAGGGCCAATCACCCAAGTTCCTGCCACCACCAGTGATGGATGGCAGGTCGGCCTCTGCGCTGGGCTTTTACCAGTGACTCTTCCGTGGCCAGTCTTAGGCTGGGAAAGTCCACTCTCAGTTCTGACCTCGGACCTGTGCTCAGAAAGCTGTGGATGAATCCAGGTACCCCACCGTGTGCTTCTGCCCCCGGGCAGCCTTGCTGCTTCTATGGGGAAAGAGACTGTACACGCACACATCTCCTCTCTCCTTCCACAAACCCCTCAAACACAGGGCACAGGTCCGTCCTGCTGTAACCAACCCTGGACAGGGAAACAGCGACAAAGTGAAAGGTGTATTGTCTCTGCCGGTTCCTCTGATGCGAACCCGTCCTCCTCAGATGGAGAAAGCCTCGGTCCCTGAACCCCAATCAAAAGCCGCCCCCAGCCCTCTCGACAGAGAATGGCCACACTCTGTGGGGAGAACTACACTGACAGGTCCACTCTCGACTAGGTGAAAGCTAGGCTCACATGTCCCTTCTGCATGGTCAGTAAACATCTATTAAGTGCCTACTATGTGCCAGGCACAGTGCTAAACTGGGGATACAGAGAAAGACAAAAGGCAGTCACTGCCCTTGAGGAGCTTACAATCTATAGGAGAGAAGGAAACGAGCATTATTAAGTGCCTGCTGTATGCCGCATGCTATACTAAATGCCTTACAAATATTAAGTCAGTTGATCTTCCCAACGACCCTGTGAGGTAGGCACGATGCTTCTGTACAGAAGGAAAGCTGTGCCCACCTGTCCCCACTCTCTGGGGCATGGCGAGGCTCACATGACTATATTTGGTAGGGCAAGAATTAGACTCACTTGTCTGTCCTGTACAGGGGGAGAGTCATGCACATATGTCCACACGGGTCAGGGGGAGAGCCGTGTTCACGTGTCCACACAGGTTAGGGGGAGAGCCGTGTTCACGTGTCCACACAGTTCATGTATCCATATTCAGTTACTGTTCTGGAGGAAGTCCCCGAGCAGTTCCATTTGCATTTGATTTGGTTTTTTTCCTTCATAAGCATCTCATTCTAACAGCGTGGCCTGACTTGGACCAACCCCTGCATGGCTGTGCATCTCACCTGTTTCCTTTCTCCACATTTTAGATTTCCCGGAAAGCTCATCATCGCTTGCCATTGAAATGGAGACATAGCACTTTTCCCATCTCCTGCTTGTGTCCACTAGGTCAGTACTGGGGAGTGCTGGAGGAGGAGAAGGAGGAGGAGGAGGAGGAGGAAGTCCTCAGCCCAGTGAACCTGGGGCTAAAGTCATTTCCCTAATGCCATTTGCATAATCATTCTATAGGTCATTTCCATGAAGGAGATGCTTCGAAGGATGCCCACAGCCCCTCCACTCATACCATACTTCTCATCTTGAATTGGTTCCAAGTCACATGACAAACAGTATCCGGGTTTAGAGGGAGGGGGCAGCGTGTTCCATAGCAACATCATCAAAGTGAGCCCTTAGCTAACGGGCAACATAGCAGGGTTTAGTTAATAAAAAGAACTCACAGCACTGTAGTGGTTTGTGTTTTACCTAGTGTATTCCTCCTGCAAACACTGTCATTACACCCATTTCACAGATGGGGAAACTGAGGCTGAGAAAGAGGACTTGCCCAGTGCCCCACAGCTAGCAGGTGTGGGAGCTGTATTCCTGGCCTTATTACAAATGGGCAAGGTGGCTTTCATGTCTGCTCTTACCAGTGTCATAGACTGAAAGACTCCAAGGGATGTAGACATGGCAGCTGCCCAACAAGAAAGGCGGTAAGGTAGAGGAGAAAGAGCACTGGCTTGGGAGTCAGAGGCCCTCGGTTCAAATGCCACTTCTGACTTGCCCTTCCTGGGCCTTGGGTCCTTCTTCTGATAGGACAGGACAGGACCAGATGGACTTTGGGGTCTCTTGATCCTGGATCCAGTTCAAGGTGTTGATTTTTCCACTGGACATTTCAAGCCTCATCCTAGGACAGCGAAATGATCAAGGTCACTTTCTCCTGACTCCATTATGTCAGTTAATACCATACTTCCACCCCCTCACAAAGAACACCCTCCCTTCTCCCCTGCGCAAATACTGCTAACTGTTAACTAGTGGCAGGCCAGGCCGCATGTGGGAGGCTCATTGGAAAGTCTTTTCTTAATGAAGAAGTAAACAGCTTTCTTCTCACGGCACTCCCAAATAAATAAACCCAGTATAATCCAGCAGGGAAAGATGTCATTCTAGTAACAGGTCTGCCAGAGAGTTAAGTGTAGCAGCTTTCTGACAAATGCTAGGATCAGACTGGAGGAGCTGGAAGGAACTTGAGAACAGAGAATGTCAGAGCAGGGAGGGACCTGAGAACAAGAGAATACCAGAGCCAGGAGGGAACTTAGAACAGCAAAGGTCACAGTGGAAAGAACCATAGAACAGAGAATGTCAGAGATAGGCAGGGTCTTGGAACAGAATCTAGGTCCCTACAATCAAGAATGTTGAAGCTAGAATAAGCCTTAGAAAAAAAGAAAACCAGAACTAGGAGAGCCCTTTGAACAGAGAATGTCAGAACCAAGAGGGACCTTAGAATAGCTAATGTCAGAGCCTATAGGGCCATTAGAACTTAAGAATGTCAGAGCCAGGAGGCACCTTAGAACCGAGAATGCCATAACTGGGAGAGACCTTAGAAAAGAGAATGTCACATCAAGGGGGAACCTTAGAACACAGAATTCACATATGGAAAGCACTTTAAAACAGAAACTCTTGAGGCCAGAAGAGATGTTGAAATAAATGGTGTCAGAGCTGGAAGAGACATTAGAATAGCGAATGTCAGGGATGAAAGAGGGTACTTAGAACAAAGAATTTCAGAGCTGGAAGGGGTTTTAGTACAGAGAATGTCAGAGCTGGGACAAACCTTAGAACAGAGAATGTTATAAATAGGAGGGACCTTAGAACAAAGAATGGCTCTTCTGGGAGGGCCCTTAAAACATGGACTCGTTGAGCTAAGAACAGAGGATGCTAGGAGGGCCTTAAGAACTGAGAATAAATATCAGAACTAGGAGAAACCTAGAATTTCAGACCTAGGAGGGGCCTTAGAATATAGAATGTTGGATGTCAGAGCTGGAGAGACTTTGGAACAGGGAATGTCCAATCTGGCAGACACTATAGAATCGAGAACGTCAGAAGTGAGAGGGACCTTAGAAGAGAGCTGAGACAATTCACAGCTAGAAGGAACCTTAGTCATAGGCTGCCAGAGCTGAGAAGAACTCAGCTGGAGAATGTTGGAGCTAGCAAGGACCATAGAACAAGGGCATGCAGAGCTTGAAGGGACCCAGGTACACAAGAATGTCAGAGCCGGAAGAGGCCTTAGAAGATAGACTGCCACACCAGCTAGGGAGCTTAGAACATGGACTGTCAGAGCTGAAAGGGAGCTTGGAACTGAGAATGTCAGAGCTCAGAAGGGCCTTAGAACAGAGAACGTCCAGGCCATGATTGCCTAATAAGAGGGAATGTTAGGGCTTAGACAGGCTTTAGAAAAGAGAGAATCAGGCAGGAGAGGATTTAGAATAGAGAATATCACAGCTGGGAGGGACCTTAGATTAGGGCTGAACTGAAAGAACTGACAAGGACCTTAGAACCAAGAGTATCAGGGCTGGGATTTGGGGAGAGGGAGGAGTACTTCAGCAAATAAATGCCACATTTATTAATACTATTATGCAAAAGGACCTTACATTCTATTGGGGGCCTACAACGTGCTTCCTGATAAATACAGGTTACATAAAAAATAAATACACAGTAATTTGGTGTGTACATAAGGGTAGGTACTAACAATGAGGGGAATCAGGAAAGGCGTCTTAAGTATGTGGTCCTCAGAACTGAGCTCCTACGTGGGTCAAGGGTTCATAGAAGAAGTGAGGAAGGAAAGCATACCAGGCATGAGAGACATCCTGTGCAAAGGGCTGGAGGCAGGAAATGGAACTTCATGACCAGTTAGGCCACTTCCTGCCTCTGACATGGGGGAGTACCTTAGGACAGGGATTGTCAGAGCTGAGGAGCTTAGAATAGAAAATGGCACATCATTGGAGGGACCTTGGAACAGCATATGTGAGAGTTGGGAAGGAACTTTAGAAGGTCAAAGCTGGGAGGGACCTTAGATCAGAGAATGTTATAACTGGGAGGGCCTTTCAAACAGTGGTCACAGCTATGAGGGCCTTAGAACATGAGACAGTTAATGCTGAGAGGGACTGGAGCCAAGAACGGCAGAGCTGAAAGGTCTGTTTGGACAAATAATTCGTGATTGGGGGGTGGGAGAGAGCAGCTTAGAGCAGAAAATGTCAGAACAGGGCTACGCCTTAGAAAGGAGACGGTCTAAGCTAGAAGAGGTCTTAGACAAGGGAAAATCAGAGCCAGGATAGACCTTCAAACAGAGAATGTCAGAGCTGAAAGTGGCCACGGATCAGAAGATGTCCTGTCTTGGAGAAACCTGAGAAAACATCCGGTGGTCTTTCAGAGCTCAGGGTCCTTAGAACACAGGACATCACAGTAAACACACATTTTATTAAGCACCTACTATGTTCCGGGCACTGCTAAGCTGGAAAGGGGTACAGAATCTTAGAATGCTGTCATAATGGAGGACCTTACAAGAGACAATGGCAATATAATGGAAAATAGAAGCGCTCAGAAGAGATGTGCAACAAAATGGCAGAGCTGAGAAAAACTTTAGAGAATGAACCATCAGAGATGAAAGGGACCATAGAAAAGAGATGGTGGACCTTACAACAGGGAATGGCAGAGCTGGGAGGAGCCTTAGAGCACAGAATGTCCAGGCCAGGACTGCCTAATAAGAGAGAAGGTTAGAGCCTAGACAGGCTCAAGAAAAGAGAAAATCAGAAGCAAGCAATTTAGAACAGAATGTCACACCTGGGAGGGACTTTAGGCTATGAACTGTCACAGCTTGGAAGTATATAAAAACAATTTCAGAGCTAAGAGATCTCAGAACAGGGAATGCCAGAGCTTAAAGGGACCTTGGATCAGAGGATGACACGTGGAAGGGGTCTTAGAACAGATAATGTCACATCTTGGAGAGGGAACCTTAGCACATGGACTGGCAGAGCTGAGAGGATGTTTAGAACAGACAATGAATATCACATCTTAGAGAAAAGGGAACCTTACAATTTGTTGTTGTTCACTCATGTCCAACTCCTTGTGATCCTATTCGGGGTTTGCTTGACAGAGATACTGGAGTGATTTGCCATTTCCTTCTCCAGCTCATTTTACAGATGAGGAAACTGAGGCAAACGGGGTGAAGTGACTTTCCCAGGGTCACACGGATGTCTCGAGGTCACATTTGGTCTCAGGTCTTCCTGACGCCAGGCCCAGCACTCTATCCACTGCGCCACCTAGCTGCCCTTGAAGGGAACCTTAGTATAGAATATATCAAAGCTAGAACAGAGAATGTCACATCTGGAGAGGGCCCTTAGAACAGAGAATGTCAGAGCTGGCCTTAGATCACAGAACGCCAGGCCTGGTGAGTCCCTTACAACAGGGAATGCAGTAGCCACAACTGGCATTAGAAAAGAGAAAATTAGAACTAGAAAGGATCATTGACCGTGGACTTCTGAGGGCTGAGAGGGGCCTCAGAAGAGAAAATGTCATAGCAGGAAAGGACCTTATAAAAAAGCATGTCAGAGCTGAGTGGAACCTCAGAGGAAATCAAAGCTCAGAGACAGCTTAGAAGAGAGAATGGCACAATTGGGAGTTACTTTAGAACAGGGAATGTCAGAGCTTCAACGGACCTTAGATCAGAGAATATCACATCCGTGAGTGACTTTAGAACAGAGAATGTTGGAGCTGGGGGTTCCCTATAACAGATAATGTAGGAGGAAGGAGAAAAGCAGAGGTGGGAGGAACCTTCGAACAGAAAATGTCACAGATAAAGAGAGACTGACTTTAGAACATGGATCGTCAGCACTGGGAGGGACCTTAGAAGAAAGAATGTTGAGGCTGAAGGATGTCTCAGACTATGTTGATGCAGGGATGGGCCACAGAAAAGAGAAAAGCTGGGGCAGCTTGGTGGCGCAGTGGATAGAGCACCAGCCCTGAAGTCAGGAGGACCTGAGTTCACATCCAGCCTCAGGCCAAACACTTGACACTTACTAGCTGTGTGACCCTGGGCAAGTCACTTAACCCCAATTGCCTAAAAAAAAAAAAAGAAAAAGAAAAAAAAGAGAGAGAGAAAAGCTGACCTAAGAAGGCCCTTAGAACAGAGCATGTTAGACCTGAGAGGAACCTTCAAAGAGGGAATAACAGAGCTAGGAGGGAATTGAAAATACTGAAGGTCAAAACTGGGACTTGCCTTTGAACAGTGTCAGATCTGGGCAGTACCTTAGAACGTGCAGTGTCAGCTCTCAAAACTCTCTTCAGAACAGGGAAATCTGGATCTAATAGAAACCATAGAATACAGAATGTCACAGCTGGAAGAGATCTTCAAACATGGACTGTCAATTTGGATGGACCTTAAAACAATGAAGACAGGGATTGGGGATGCCCTAAACCAGAAAATGAGGCAGCTAGGTGGCTCAATGGATAGAGGGCTGGGCCTGGAGTCAGGAAGACAAAGCCAGCCTCAGTCACTTACTAGCTGTGTGACCTTAGGCAAGTCATTTAACCTGTTTGCCTTAATCCACTGGAGAAGGAAATGGTAAACCACTCTAGTATCTTTCCCAAGAAAACCCCATGGACAGTATTGGGAAGTAATGGTCCACGGGGTCACAAAGAGTGAGCCATGACCAAACAACAACAATAGCAGAGAATATAGGCTAGGAGAAAATTAGAGCTAAGTAGGATAGAGAATGTCAAATTTAGAAGGGACCTTCCATATAGACAGTGAGAGGTAGGACCCGAGAATATCACCCATCTTGGAACATGGACTCTCAAAGAGCTAGAGGGGTCTTAGAACACTAAGTGTCTCATCTGGGAGGGACTTCTCTTTCCAAATCACTTTCCTTATAGCCCCGTGTAATGAGGAGGAAATTGAGGTTCATCAGAGTGATGTGATTTACCCATAAATTCGTGTCAGAGACAAGAGCTGGCTCCCCAGCTCAGTCCTTCTTTGCTCACCTAAGTATGTCTTGCTTTTTTTTTGTTCTCAGGCCCCCATCACCTCTCCTTCCTATGAGGCTGGCAGAGTTCAAGATCTGGAGATGCCCAGTGTTCAAAACGACACCACGGTGGAGTATGATTGGATCCCAACCCTCACAATCTGGAAATATCCCATCCCATGCCTGATGTGCCAATTTGGCAGGGCTTTCCAAGTCCTACTTTCATGTCGTGACTCCACTAGGCAGGTTGATGGCCACTGGTTCAAGCCAATCTACCCTCGCCTCTTTCTCCTTTATCCCCCATCAGTGAGGGCCTTAATGCAACACTGGGCTTCTTTCCATTTGCTCTAGCACGCCCCTTGACCTGGGAAGCCCAGGAAGCCCCTGCATTGTGGTGTGTGAGGGGCATTTGAGTGTGTGTGCTGCATGCGCCTCTGTGTATGTGTGTATGTGCATTTATACATATGCAAAAGTACATGTATGGGTGCAGGCTGTGTACATAAACTGGCATTAAGGTGAATGGCTGATCACCAGAAGAACCACGATTCAGAACCAAGGCTAGAGCATTGCTTGGAGCCTCTGTGTAGACACAAGCTTCCCTGTCCCCCCACCTCCACCCCAAATTGGCTGAGCTCTTGAGTGCAACCCTCAGACCAGACAGGACCTTCCAATTTCTGAGAGATCTTCACATGCTGAAAAGGCCTAGGGAACTGAAGCACTATGGGAAACCTCCCCCAGCCCATTTTCCCTCCTCAGCCTCAGGCCCCCAAGTCCAACCCCAGCTCAAATCCTTCCCCCCAAAGAGACAGTGCTCTCACCCACCCGCAGCTGCTCAGCGGGGGAGGATTTCAGCCCTATCCCACCACAGGCCCAAGAGATCGGATAATACTATATCCAAGCTACAAAGGACCATAGACATCATCTTGTCCACACATGCACTATCCCCACCTCTCATCAAAGCTGAGGAAACTGAAGCCTTGAAAAGAGAATAGATTTGCCTACCCAAGTCACATATCAGATGCAGGATTTGAATCCAGGACCTTGGACTCCCAGTCTAGTGTGCTTTCCCCTTCACCCTGTTGATGCAGGAGCTAAAAGATAAGCTCAGAGCAGATTAAGGGCAACAAGTGTCAGATGCTCAACCTTCCCCCCAAAAAAAAGTTTACCTCCCCCCCAACATTTCCCTCTTCCCCAACACATTTTCCTTCCCCCCGCAACACGTTTCCCTGCATACACGTGCACGTGCACACACACACACACACACACACACATGTATACACCCTGTGTTCTTAGACTTTACAAACAGGTTCAATGAGGACCAAGAAATGATTGCTCTGAACTGTGGGCCATGAGCTTTGAGGATGCTTTTTCAATCCTAACCTTGTTCTTTTCCTAAGGAACAAGTTTCAGAGCTACCATTAGCCCTAGAGCTCCCACCACATAAAGACTTCTGTTTACTCCCCAGGGGTTAGAATATAAACATTGATAAACTGAGCAGTAACGCGCCAGTCCTTTCTTTGACCTTTTCAAAGCTTCACCAGGAGCTCGGCCATTAGGACGGCTCGGTAGTTTCCATTCATTGCCCTCTTTCCTTATAATCAGCCTCTCCCTAGCCCTCGGTGCAGTGTGGACACTAAAGCTGTTTACCCTATCCTAATACCTTGGAGTACTGATGCATTCAGCTTCCCTGGCAAGCCTCTTGTCCCCAGCTGCCGAGAGCTGAGCAAAGAGAAGGCCAAGGCCTCCCAGGCCAGCCTTCACAGTATGCACGGCTGTGGGATGGAGCTGCTGGAGCTGGGCTTTCATCAAAACTCCCAGCTGCTGGGCCAGGCTGCAGAGAAGCTGAAGCCCCACGTAATGGATGGGACCGGTGGTTTGGGGCACACCCAGAGCCCTCTGGCCAAGGCAGCTTCAGGAGCAAAGCTCAACTGTTACGGCGATGGTTCCATCTGACTACTGGCCAAAGTTAAGTTTCTTGGTCCTTCGAAAAGCCTGAAGCCAAATGACAGCCTAGAAGACTGTGGCCTCACAGTTTCTGTATGTCACCCACCAGGAAGGGAGAGAAAAGCCCACTCTCTCCTACCTGGGCAGATTTTCCCTTTCCCTCTCTTATAGACTGGAAGCACAGGAGAGGAGGTGGGTGAAGATCCACTAGTCCAACCTCCCTCACCTTAAAGGTATGGAAACAGAAGCCCTGAGTGGGAGAAGGTCCTGCAGGGAGGCAGCTGAGCGGGTGATTTGAACCCAGCTCTTCCGATTCCCAATCCAGCGCCCTCTCCACCCTACCATGCTGCCTTTTCTGCCAGTGGTTCTGCTAAAGCATCTACTACCCCCAATCCCAGGCAAGGTGATATCTCCCATGCCCTGGCAAATATTAATATTCCCCTTCCAAAAGTCAAGTCACAAAGGCATTCTTGGCACCTTGGTTCCACTGGCATCCAATCCGGTCATAACCTTGGCTTTCCAGAGGTCACCATAGGGCTGACCACTGCACCAAGCTAGAGGCCCTGCTGAGAAAGAGATAGTACGTTTGCTTAGAATCCTAAACTGTACAGACTTTACTTTAGAGCTGGAAGGAAGCTTAGCGATCATTTGATCTAGCAGTTCTTGATCTGGGGTCCATGAACTTGTTTTTTGAATATTTTGCTGACTGCATTTCGGTACAATTGGTTTCCTTTGTAATCCTACATATTTTATTTTACACATCTGAGACGATGATTTTGAGAAGGGCTCCACAGGCTTCGCCAGATTGTCCAAGGGGCCTATGACATGACAAAGGTGAAGAACGCCTAGCCTGGTTTGAGCCCGCTGGAACAGGCCTGTCTTTCTTATGGACTTCATGTCACTCGGTGCTCCAGCCATTAGCCCTCATCCCTCCCATCTGTGCTGAAAGGTGCTAGTCTATCTTCTGTCCTCACCTCAGTAAGTCCAATACAGGGCTAGAATGAGAAGTTGGACCACCCCAGTATTACTAAATATTCTGTGATCATATGAGCCCATAATGCCTTTCTCCTTTATGGGGCAACAAGATGGGGATGACTTTATTTTTTTTAGCCAGAGAAAGGAAGGCTCAGAAAAGTTAAGAGCTGTCCAGTTAGGCAAGGCTGGCTCAGTCGGGAACATTGTGGGAATAGATACGTTAAGGGACTCCATGCCTTCTTTCGACAGAAGGGCCCCCAGCATTCTTTACTGGTGACAATCACCCCCTCTGTGCATTCCTGAACCTCGACTTCTGAGGGCAGCTAAAAGCGGAAAGTGTCAAAGACCCCAGGTCCATGGCTCAACTGTGTCCCTTCCTGGCTCTGTGCCTGGACACCCAGTCTCCCGGCCCTCATTTGTAGATGAACTCAGAGGTCGCTTTCAGTGCTCGACCCTAGGACTCAGTATCTCATGTGGGGTCACATCGATGTTGTTTGGTCACGAATCCTCTGCCAGTCAGAAAGCATCCCAAACAAGATGATTGGAATTCTCCATGAGACAGTGTTCTTTGAAAATTCATGAGCTCCATAAAACCAGTGGGAAAGAGAAAATAGCATTTACAGTATGAAGGGTCATTAGAGATCATCTGGTCCAATTGCGTCTGTTAACAAATGAGGAAACAGGCCCAGAGAACGTGGGATGTCACTTGCCTGACATCCCACAGCTAGGAAGTGGCAGAGCTGGGATTTGAACCTGGGTCTTCTGCCCCCAAATCCAGGGCTCTTTCCACCAGGTCTCAGTTGGCTTTGGAGGTGCAGTCCATTTGCATTTCTTTCAACACAGCCAAAATGTACAGCATCAAATAGTAGCCTTTTGCATGCAAAGGAAGTACAACATACCAAGGAATAGGCACTTCCAAAAAGCACATAGCCAATAACCATTCACTTCCCAGAGAGGGCTGAGGCTACCTCCAGGACCGTACTACAAGTAAGTTCATGTGCTCTACCGGAGGCAGCCAGAAAGCACCTTCCCCAAGTTCTGGGACCATCCTCGCAGGCATTAAAAAGAGATGATGAATGGAATGACCAAGCAGTGGGCTTTCTGTAGCAGATATGGGGCAAGAGGAGATGGTACAGTTGAAATAACCCCTCTCACAACCCTCCTGCTGGTTAACCAAGCTAAGGGTCCAGGGGCCTGGGCAGGAGGCTCCTGCTTTTTCTGTGTAGTATGTTCAATGGACTAAAGACAACTGCCCCTCTGAGCAAGAAAATCAAGTCACCGTTCACGCAGCAATTAAGGTCAGGTTGCCAATTTGCTACTGATACTCCCCTCCCCCAATTTCTTGGTTTCATCTGTGCCAACGTGACTGACTGTATGTGGTGCTCTGACTCTTGCTACCGAGTATTAATTACAAAAGGCTGGCAAACTGTACTTTCCCATGTTAATCTATTAAAAGTATATGCATGGGGTTGTTCTTTCTTCTAGCCGATGCTATGGTCTCATTAAAAAGTTTTCATCCGCTTTCTGTCAGTTTCCACAAAGCCCATTAGATGGAATGGAATACAGTGTGGGGTTCGTGTACCTGTTACACTGTTATCAGGTATCTGTTACACTGATTCCACTTACAGAATCCTATTCTGTCAGAGTTAGAAGGGACCTTCGAGATCACCAAGACCAACTCCCTTGTTTTACAGAGAAGGAAACTGAGACCCAGAGAGTAGAAGCAGAGAGAGGCTGCTAGGCGGCACAGTGGACAGGATATTGGACTTGGGAGTCAGGAGACCCAAGTTTGAAAATCTGCCTCAAGTATTTATTGCTGTGTGAACTTGGACAAGTCACTTAACCTCAATCTGCCTCAGCTGACTCATCTGTAAAAGAGGGATAGTAATAACACCTATCTCCCAAGGTTGTTGTGAGAATCACAACATCGGACGGTATTTTGCAAACCTTAAAGCGCCATAGAAATGCTAATTATTGATCATTATTATTGTCCACCCTCATACAACTAGCAGATCTCCCTACTTGCCTCTAAAACCCCAAAGTTCCCCTAGCTTCTCTTCCCACTTTTCAGAATGAACAAAGCTTAGAATTGATTTCAATTCGGGCCTTTATGTGAATTGAGGTTATTTAGAAGTCTAAGACAGGCCAGTTTCAATGGAAATGTTCATTTCTACCCATCTGGCCAGAGAGGGTATTGTGCATTCAGAATCTGTAGGCTGGCACACACAAGAGAGGGGCTGCCCACAAAGCCTGGGTTCAAATCCCAGCCTCTAACATATACTGACTAGGTGACATTTGGCCTCTTGGTGGATGTGCCTTGGTAGGGGGAGCTTCCACATTGGGGGCTTTCTATACATACCAGTGCAATCACAGACCCAGCCCTGCTCCCTTTGGACCCACATGGGTGAAAAAACATTGTATGTTCCTATTCTTTCATCTTACAAACACCAAAATGATCTTTAAAATCCACGTGGATTGATCCCTCGCCCCCTTCCCAATCCAATGAGCATTTATCTATTTGCCAGGTACCAGGTTTAAAATCTAATTTTAATCCACAGTACCACTAAAAAAGTAAGTGACTTATTTTTTCTCTTTGCTTCATGAAGAGATAGGTGCCTTTTCCTCCCAAAGCAGACAGCCCTGAGGAATCGGAAGGTTTTCAACAAACTGTTTTTTAAGAACATGGATTGGAGTGGAGAAAGACCCCTCGCCTTCAAGAAACTTTAACAACTTAACCAATTTGGCCCATTGGCATAGACTCACACACCCAGCTGCAGAAAAATTTGGCAAAATCTAAAAGAAATCCCACTGTAGCAAATGGGAATTGGAATGAAAGTATAGAAAAATCTAAGGATTTGCCCAAGAACAGCAAACGCTGTTGGAAATGATGGCAATTGAGAGATATCAGTGCAGTGGTCAAAAATGAAGGTCCTCTCTGGACGGGGCTGACTGGGGGTGGAGGGGTGGGGATGGATTAAAGAACCAAGGGTCATTAAGGAGAACTAGAGGCTAGGCCGAGTTGCTAAAACTCCCATTTAATCCATTAGCTTGTGATTTCCCTCAAACTCAAAACTTTTCTCCCACCGTGCTCTCAATCTATAGACATTCAAATTTTAATGACGAAAACCACAGATTCAGCCTCTAGGATTCTCCTGTTAGTTAAGTGGCCCAGAGAGGTAACTTCAGATCTCTGCTTCTGGGCCTGGTTAGTTTCAAAAGAGAATCACCTGGAGTGTGTGCCATTGCTAATCAACCCAGTTTTTTCAAGTACTGTCCTTTCTCATGGACTCTTGGAGATTTCTACTTTTGATCTGCCTAAAGGATGTGGGGAAAGTTAACTGTCACTAAGGTAATTGGACCTAGCATAAACCTTGCATTTTTAGAAGGTTCTCAAGAGGTGCTGAGAATAGCTAACCATAGCACTGAAATACGCTTTAAGAGTTGCAAAATGCGTTACAAATATTATCTCATTTGAGTCTCAACCCTGGGAGAGGGAGGTGCTGTTATTATGCCCCATTTTAGAGATGAGGAAACTAAGGCAGACAAAGGGTAAATGACTTCCCCAGTTCACACAGCTAGTAACTGTCTGGGGCTGGATATGAACTCAGGTCTTCCAGTCCCCAGGTCCAGCACTCTGTGCGCGATGGTGCCACCTCGCTGCAGCCAACAGCTCTCCCCATTAGGCAGACTGAAGACAGATCCTGGGTATTCTTTCTGGTGCCAGCTAACACAGCTCTCACTATACTAAACTTTCCGCATTACTAATAATCACTGCCATCAGCTGTGCCATCTCTGTAGTCAGTGGCAGCATGGCAAAAGCTGGAGAGAAATGAGGACGGCAAGACCTCTCTTAAACCCAGCATCATCCAATTCAATGCTTATCTGCTCCTGTGTACATCCTACCTGTGCTCAGAGTTTCCAAGGCATATTACAGATAGAGCATGTTATCCAAGTTACTCTTTTCAGAACATCTTGTTTACCATTTGGTCAAGTATTGGCATGGACAGCGCTAAGGACAAGTGGACTCCTGAGTGTCGTGTACCCCGCAGGTCCCCCCGCAATCTTCCAGACTTGGGGACCAAGCGCTTCTCCTGAAAGTAAAGCAGCCAAAATGACAACCGTTGGAGTGTTTAGTTCATGTTAGTGATATTTTTAGTGATGTTGACACTGGTTTTTAAATATTTAAAAAAATGGATTCTTGTGAAAATTCTTCTGCATAAAGCATTATGTTCATTGTTTTATTGGTTATTGGATGCTACGTGCATAAGGTTTTAATAGTGTCATTACTAAGTTCGTAAGTTTCAGTACTGTATGTACAATATCTCGGTGTCATTTTCTATTGTGTTGGGATTTGTTTCTTCTGTAGGAAATGTACAGAGTTTATATACTCTCGGGCAGTTCGCTGCATTAAAAATAATCTGGTTTTGACTAAATTGCTCAAAGTTTTTTGAGTTCAGAGGCTCATGGATCTCAAGCTAGATGGAATATCAGGAGCCACATAAGGGAGCCCTACATAAAATGGTGGGGTGGATTAGATGGTCCCTGAGTGGCGGGAGGTTCTTTGGGCAAGCCCTTAAACCATACCCAAAAGTTACTCAGGCCCAGGTCCTCTGACTTCAGAGCTAATGCCCTCTTCCTCTGCCAGGATTATGCAAACCTGAACGATTCTCCCAAGCCTGAAGAGTTCAACGGATCATGACATTTGGTGAAAAGAACTCCAACTGCAGAAAAGAGGCTTGCTTGCCAAGGGTGGAGGGGCAGAGAAGGACCTTGGAGATATAGTTCTCATTGCCTCCCTTGGGCCTTCCATGTGATAACCAAGTTGGGACTATTCCAGTCACAGAAGGAACCTTGGGAACCATCTAGTCCCATTACCTCATTTCACAGGGGGAGATAAGTCCAGGAAGATGAGCTTCCATTTAGTTCGAACGTTAAATGCCTACTCTGTGCCCGGGCGTTAGGGCAGTGGTCTCCAAATGGAGAATGAGAACATGGCTGGAATCCCACACTCTCCCAACGATAACTAGCTTGCCTACAATACAACCACCATCAGCCCCTTAACAAATTATAGCTCCAGCCCCCTCCATTCCTTGTTCCTGCCCCTCCCTGCCCCAACGTCCCCATCCTTTATCTTCCAATCACCTTGGAACTACTGCAGGCACCCCAAAGGGCAGGCTGGGGATGAGGGGCCCCAACCCCCAGGCCAATAATAGCCATAGCCCTCCACCTGTAGGCCTGCATAGCTTCCAATTTGCATAACAAATCTCATTACATTATCATTCTCCCCAAACCTACTCCTCTTGCCCATCTGTCTCTTTTTCAGAGACCATCATCATCCCAGTCTCCCACAATCCCAATACCCCTTTATGCTTGAACCCTCATCAGCTGGAACTGTTCTCACCAAAGTTACCCAATCCAGCGGCCTCTTTTTGCTCTTCATCTTTTTTGACCTCTAATGTGGATGACCTTCTCTTTCTGGATACTCACTCTCTCCTCTCAGTTGATGAAGACAATGGAAATGTTTTACCTATCAAAACTCACTTGCCTGCTTAAAAATTTTTGAATTTTCTAATCCGATTAGAAATCTTCCAAATGAAGAATTTCACTGAGTTTTGTATTATTAATACAAAATATTTATAAATTATGTAATTATATAAATAAAACATAATTATAAGTATAAAACTACAATCCCTTTTGATTAGTTTATAATTGATAAACATAAAGAAAGATAGAAATTTACTAGCTGAAATTCAAAAGAAACCTTTGCATAATTGGTGGATGGGACTGAAAAATGAGTATTATAATTTAGTAAGCACAGCCCAAGATACACTTCTTCTAAGGGGATCCGTGTATGTTTCTGAGTTCCCTTGTTCAGCTATGACAGCCACTCAAATCAAAGTAAGCTTAGGCCCAGACCTTCAAATCCCTGTATCACAGTGGTAAGCCAAGATTTTCAAAAATAATGAAGCATATTCAATCCCACTGCTCTCACCAAAAATATCATCATTAATATTTTTAGTGAGAAAAAGGGTTTTTCTGCACCATTCTTAAAGATTTGCAAACTATCATCTCATCTTTATCTCATCCTTTTCAAATTGCTACTTTCCGTGCAAGATTTATAATGTACATAATTACTAGTACAGTAGCACAGACATGTAATTTATAAATGAGTGAATATTCATATATGGGGGTAGGTGCTCAAAACTCCTTTACTGATAGGTGTGTGTGATCAAAAGTTTGGCAACTACGACACTACGAATATAAAGACCTAACTGGGGTCGAAGGAGAATGGCGATGGGGCTAATGCCAAAAGGGCAGGTAGTCTTTTCCTTGAAATGCATTTTCATACATGTGTGAATAGGGATGAAGCTAACACTCAGAGAATTCACTTTTACCAATACAACAAGGCCACGACAAAGAAGAGCCAAGCATCAGTTTAAAGCAGCACTGGCCTTGCTACATAGCCCTGCCGGCTCCCATCTTCCCTGAAGTGGGCTAGAATAAACGAAGGTCCTGAAGTGACTGTCAGGTATTATAACTGACAAGTTTACCCAGGACTTAAACCCATATTCTTATTGTTCCCCACTACATCCTGTGAGGTATCTAGAGGGGGTAGCCCCATTTACAGAGAAGCAAACTAAAGCGTGAAGATTAACAGGTAATACAGCACAGGAGAGCAGGGCTTTGCCCCAGGTTTTCAATTCCAAATCCCGTGTTCTTTCCCCACATCCCAGCTGCCTCCCTAAGAACACGAAAGCCAGATGGGCCACAGAAAAACTGCAGTGTAGACTCTACCATCAGAGGCATCACATGGCAAGGGACTGCTAGCTTTCTGCTAAAGAATCAGTGTGGCACAATCGGAGAAGCAATGAATTTGGAGTCAAAGGACCCAGGTCCAAATACAGGCTCTGCGGCTTTGTATCCATGTGACTGTGAGCAAGTTCTTTCCCCTGTCTGGGCCAACTGTGAAATAAAAAGGACAAACTAGAAGAAGAGGAGCGTTCACACTGCATCAGCTCTCATGCCCTCCCTGCTCCCACTCTGCCCAGCAGTTCCTCCCCTCCCGGTCAGCCATTGCTGACATTTCTCTCAGCAGCTCAGTTCTATTGGAGATTAAGTCTTCCACTTCAGAAAAGCAGCAGGTCACACCTCAGCCTGTGTTCCCACAAATCCCCAATGAGTCAAGCAACCAGCCAACCACCACTGTTAGAATTGTTTTTTTAATATCAATGCAAAATAGGGTACAGGTTTTTACAAGCAGTTGACCAAGAAGCTTTTGTTTCAAAAATGATTCCTCTCCATTTTGGAAGCCAAAATAGCAACACCTGCAAATTATTGGGATTATACAAAACATGACCTTCTTTTGTCCCATTTCGGCACATCTACAAGTGACAAAATTTGCCAAATGACTTTTCCAAATCACAGTCTTCAAGTAAAAAAAAACATCAACATGAAATCACGTCATTTTAATTTACTTATTGGCCAGAAGACCAAGCAAGAAACCATTCTGCCTGCCACCACCCCCTACCCCGCCCCACTCACACCCAAACATCATTTCCTTTCTCTGGATTGATGGTATTTAACTGTACTTAGCCTTCCTGTGTTGCCATTCTGACTTCGCAGGGGTGGTCAGTGGGGGTCACTGCTACAGCCCAGTTGCCAAAACGGTCCCCTTTTCCTTCACTGCTTAGCCAGCCACGCACTGCTTGGGAAGTGAGCCACAAAAAAATAATGGACCAGCTGAAAAGTCAAGCACACATTTGGGGGCCAACACCTTGGGTCTGCCAGCTGAGCATGGACAGGAAAGAAAACGAGGACTTCCAGAGGCACTCAGTTTTGTTTATGAGTCACCAGAAAGAGCCAAAACTGGGAAAGTGGAGAAGAGAAGATAGAAAGTGGGCTTAGACACACACACACACACACACCCCCACCCCCACCCCCACCCCCACCCCTCTCTCTGTTTCTCAAGGGAGCAGAAAGCAAACAGAACACAATGCAACTCCCAGTGGGCCTTAGAGAACTGACTCTTTTTGGTTTTATTTGTAACTACAAGAAACCTCAGAGCAGGGCAGTTCAGAAACTAGAGAATAAATTAATTCACTGAAGAATCCAGTAATTTGCATAAGCACATTATTAAAATTCCCATCAATTCTAAGAGCTGAGTGTGCCTCATTATCGCACTTGGTTCCAACAGTCAAGAAATAACCAAATTAAATGAAGAGACCGCCAATATTTCCCATTTGGCCCAGAAAAAAAAATCCATTTAAACAGCCCCTCCACCTCACTGTCTCATCCCATTCCCCAACTGAAATAGGACAACAAGAGGAAACTCAATACACTCTTATAATATTGTACAGGGGAACCCAGTGTTCTTCGAACTTAATCTGTTCCAAAATACTTCTGTCCAAAATGTGTTGGTGCAACAGGATGGACCTCTGTGGTTAAAATTGTGATGTCTGGGAACTCCTGGATGATCGACGTGGCACCTTGAGAAAAGGAACAAGGACAAAGGAAAACCAGTGTTATACCAAGACTGAGCGGGTTGGTTGTTTTGAGGGGGAGGGAAGAGTAGTGGGCTAGCAGAGGATGGAGAATAGCAATGTTTCAGAAAGTGTGAGCTCCGACATTCAGTTACTGGCTACATCAGTCTAGAAAAGCCATTTTGCCCCCTGAGCTTGAGTATCCTCATCTGTAAAATGGGGTTAATACTTGCCTCAATGATAGTATTTCCATGCTTGGAATCAAATGAAACCCAAGGTCATCAGAAGTATCTCATGCTCACCTACTTCCTCCTAAGAGGGAACTGACTTTCCAGGGTCATCGTGCCTCCTTTGAGAGGGACACTCTCCTCCACCCTATGCCCAGATGCCTGCCAGCCAGCAACAATCCCTCCCCTCCACCTGACCACTACCACCAACCAACTGTCCTTATCTTCCCTTTTCTGTGGGACTTCAAAGTGATGCCTCCCAGTCCTCAAATTAATTAGTGCTAAGCCCTGGTGCTCACATTTACAGAGCACTCTGCACTTTCTCCTTGACTAAAGCGTCCCATCCGCCCCACTGCCAACTCCCCCACCCCATGTCTCATCATGCCCTAGCAATGAGCTTAGGCAAGTTCTGGTAGGTCCTGCCAAGCTAGAGAAGCTTCCAGGTCAGGCCCAACAATGAACTCTCAGCCTAAACAAATGGCCGGAGGTTCATCTCCAGGCTAGCCAAAGACTGATGTGCTTCTCTTGCTCAGAGTCTCACAAAGAGCACCCACAGAGGCAGAGGGGCAACAGAGGTAATGGCCAAACTGCTGGAAGCACAGACATCCTGACAGTTATAAGATCAGTTTGCACAGAACTTTTCCCCCAACCCTCTGAGGCAGGCACTAGAAAGTAGGATACTCCCCAATGGACACTCAGACAGACTACCAAGCAGCAGACCCAGGATGGAACCCTCCGACATCTGATTCCAAGTGCAGAGCCCTTTCCATAACACTCAGCTGAATCACAGGTTGCCACAGCAGAATCTGGCTCTACATTTCCAAGTGCTATTTCTTCCAGTGGCTGGGCAGCCAGCACATAGTTATTTTATTTTAAACACACCCACTGGAGATACTAACAGGAAAGCAAATAAAGCCAGGGCTTTCCATAAGAGAAGCTAAGCGGATGCACATTTCCCCATTCTGTACCTCATCTGGAGTCCCAACCATTACCCAAGTCAGGACTTACCATGAGGAGTAGAAAAGAGACTGAGGACAATGATGACACTGGGTTGAACACCATGCTCTATAAGGACTTTTACAGCCTCAATGACAGTATTTCCAGTGCCTGAAATAAAATGAAACCTGAGGCCATTAAAATCCTTTTATGGTCACTTAATTCCTCTTAAGGAGTCTCTGCAGCTCTCTGGTCCAGACCATAGGCAAAACTACACTGGAAGGGACCTATTATCACTAGATACTCACTAGAGGGGATCTCACTATGTGACTTCAGAATCTCACGCCCAAAGTCACCCTTCAGAAGCCCACTGGCCCATGGTGTGAGCAATGTGAGTCTCAGAATCAGTGTGAAGACCAGAAAAACTAGGGATCACAAAGATGACCAACAAAGATAAATCTTTGAGAAATTCTCCACTGCCTTCACTAGACTGGAGAACAGACACAGTGCAATGCTCCTCACATTCTATTTATTTTGCCTCATCACATCCCTTACCTCAATGTGTGCATTTAAAAACAGAAAATCCCTCTGGAGCTAATGAAGTGTGACTACTGTATATTCTGCTATCTGGCAATCAATTCACACGTGAACTGCCCACGTTAACTCAGAAGCCCCGAGAGCAGCAAGAGCCGGAACTGATTTTGCCTGGAAGGCTACCAGGCTGGGAGTCATGCGCCAAAATAAGCCCTCCCTCACCAAAGGTTCCAGAGCACAATGAGCACGCACTCACTTAGGATTGGATACATCAGCAGGACTTTCCTCCGGTAAATGTCTGGGGGGAACTTGGCATAATAGACTTTGGCTCTTTGGGTCTCCTCGTCACTCTGGATCAGAATCTTTCCAATTCGGATTGAGCGGCAGCAATCCCGCAAACCCTGCTCCATGGCCTCCCCTGGGGGCAGAGATGAGGAAGAACAAGATGAGATGAATAAAGCACCCACCCCAGGCCATTGGTACAAATACAGAAGGGACACTATCAAGAAGATGGCAATGCCTCCTCCGCCATTGTCTGAGGAATCTCCCAGTGCTTTGCCCAGAGCAAGAGCTCCAATAAGCTAAGATCAGCATTCTAGAATGTTCTAGAATGGAACCGTTTGGTTATAGGTGTCACCTATTAAAGCTAACTGTGTTGCAGCCTGCTAGAAAAGAAAGTGCTAGAAAGAAAAAGAAAGAAGTGAGATAATGACATCCAAAAGGCCTGAGTTCAGTCCCCAGCTCTGATGCTTTATGTAGGGATCTGGCCAGGACACTCAGTGATGCCTCAGTTGCTGTATGTCTAAGATGAAGGCAATAAACCTTGCCCTCACTGGGGGGCCATGAGGTTTGAAAGTGCTATAAAAAGAGGATTGATTTCTCAGTTCTCATGTCTACTGTCACTTCGCTTCCAGGATGAGCAAGGCAGAAAAGGCCCTGTGTTCTCCTGGCTCATGATCTTCTGTGATATTCCTAACATTTTTTCTTCCCGTTATTTTAAATAAGATGCTTAAATCACCAAAACCTGGCACTTCATCTATGTGACAATGTCCTTTTCATTAAGGTTAAGAATGAAAGATTCCTGGGAAGGGAATGGGTGTTAGAAACCAAAGATGATTGGCTCTTAGAACACAATGTCATAAAGACTGTCACTCGGCGCAGCAATGAATTAATTTAGTGCCGAAGAGGCTTTTCCAGCACACAGTGAATAAGGAGCAGCTGGCTGTCGGGTCGGGGTTTTGGGTGTTGGCTTTTGTTTGTTTGGGTTTGGGGTTTTTTGGGGGGGAGGGGGCGAATAGGTTACCACCAGCAACTATCACCTTAGCCTGGGAGCCAAAAGTCATTTTGGAATTTAAATTTTTTAAAGGGAAAAGGCTGCTCCCCTACTGAAACCTATCCCCTGCCCACCACAAGGCTCTTCATGGCAGGCACAGAACGTTTGTTGAATGAATAATGCCTGACAAATCTTCCCCTCATAGCTTCACCAACTCAAAGGAGGCTGAACAAGATTGTCCAGGGACTAGTCGATACCTAAATGCTGCCTTCAGTTACCAAGGCTACGGCTTATCTAGCAGGCAGCCACTTAGAACCACCTCAGAAATCAGCAATCACTACAAATCAGGCCTTGATTTATTGTTTTATTGATTGCCTAGACTGGAGAAAATGGTAACAAAGCTAGTTTAACTTACAAGTGTGTGTGTATACATTCCCACCCTCTACCCCTCAACCTGGTTGTTAAACATTTACAATACTGCTCTATAACCTGGCTTAAGTTCAGCAAAGGCTCAGGGAATGAAGGCATCACCAGACTGGAGGCCAACAACACCAGCAACATCTGCCATTTATATAGCACTTTAAGATGTGTAAAGTGCTGTGCATCCATTATGTCATCTGAGCTCTGGGGGCAGCTAGGTGGCGCAGTGGATAGAGCATGGACATGGAGTCAGGAGGACCTGAGTTCAAATCCGGCCTCAGACACATAACACTAACTGTGTGACTCTGGGCAAGCCACTTAACCCCACTGCCTAACAAGAAAGAAAAAAAAGAAAGAAGATTCCTGCTTTGAACACCTATTTTTGTGAAAACTGCTCAAATGTCCTCTAGCCCATACATGTTAATAAAAGCCATGGGGGAAATTTATAAAACTCCATCAGCTCCCAGGGTTTCTCCCCCCTCCTTGGTCCTGCTGGGAAGGAGGTGGGGGAGAAGGGCCATGATCACAGCTCTATGTACTAATTACACGTACAGGACTTCACTGGAGGCTGTGACCAAAGGCTGATCCTGGAGCGGGAGCGCTTACGTACAAATACAACATCGACAAGCCTAGCAAGGGGGAAATACAGTTATTGCCAAAAAAGTGGTTTTGCCTACATGGTCACAGAATCATTTCGATGCTGAAAAAGACCCAACAAGTCGTCCAGTACAGCCATTGCCTGATAACAAAACAAAGGAGCCCCACTTCCTCCAGTCTAGTACTAAGTCTGCACCATCTCCCTTCATCGCTGTCTTCATGCCACCGCAGCATCCTCCCAGCCTCCCCTGCTCCTCTTTTAACGCAACCTTGCACATGCAGACAGGCCCCTGGGGAAGAGACTGCCGCTAAAATTAGCCAAGCTCGGCAACATGCCGGCCAGTACTGCAGAGGCACCAGGAGAGGAAGAGAGCTAGGGCAGGCAATGGAGAGAAAGAAACTGGAGCTCAGGTAAGCTGCAATTACAGAAAACGAACAGGACCCCTGCGGGGGGTGGGCAGTACAGAGGATGAGGGGTGGAGAAGGGAACCGAACCACAGACAGACTCACCACTTCTCATTATGCTGACCCCACAATTCCCCTTCTCAAATTTCACTCCTTCGTACTTATATCCTGTCACAAAAGAAAGGGAGGAAAAAGAGAATGTTATCTTTTGTTATTGAAGGAGATACTTCTTTGAGAAGGCCCCTCTGGTTTAGGGGCAAAAGGATGAGCAGCTGCCTTCTCCTAATATAATTTCTCAGCACCTGAGCATAGTCCTGTGCCCAAAGAAGGTGTTTAATTCACATGTTTCAAAAAGATGTTTTCATATGCAACTGGGAAATAAGAAATACAGGAAATGGGGTACAGAAATCTATCCTGCCCTACAGGAAAAATAGAAGGGGAAGGGGATAAGAGAAGGGGGGCTGAGATAGAAGGGAAGGCAGACTAGGGGAAGGGGTATTTAGAATGCATGCCATCTTGGGGTGGAGGGAGGGGCAAGATGGGGTGAAAATTTGGAACTCAAAATCTTGTGGAAGTAAATGTTGAAAACTAAAAATAAATAAATTTATTAATAAAAACAAAAACAAAAACACGTGAGTGGCAAAAAAAAGGGTGTTTAATCAACGTTTGTTTTAGGTAGTAAGAATGATAACTAAGAGGAGGACAGACAGGGCCACAATGAAACCTCATTTCCATCCTAGGACTCCCAGAGGCTTCATGGCAGGACCTGGCTGGCATGGGATCTGTATGCCACAAGAGCAGTGCCTGACCTGGAACCATCCAGTTTATTAAAATATACCATCCAGTATATTAAAAGGCCTGTTTATTATGACACTTTACATGAGGCTTTTTAGAGTAACATCTCAACTCTCCACAATGAATCCCTGGGGAATTCTTCAAACAGAGATAGGATTTCTTCACACAGCAACATGGCTAGACTTGGAATCTGGAAGACCTGGGTTCAAATCCCACCTCTCGCTGTGTGAGCAAGTCACAACTTCTATAAGCCTCAGTTTTCTCATCTATAAATGGGAATAATGATAACATTCATAGTACTGACCTCACAGGCCTGCTGTAAGGCTCAAATAATGATACAAAGATCATCAAGGATCAAAGAATGGCTATAAGGAGCTTTGCAAACTTTAAAGTGCTACAGAAATGTCCACTGTCAATATTATAATATGAGGAAAATGCCTGAATTAATAGAAAACCACTGAGTCTCCTGACTGCACCCTGAAAAAGGCTCTAGACCACCTCCCTGTATACTGCCTAGGATCTCAGAAGTCCCTTTCTCTCACTTCTCCCTGAGGTGAATGATGACAGCTCCCTCTGTTGCCCTGAACACAAACCCAATGGCTGGTGTGTCCTCTTGGCCATCACTGCCTTGGACAGATGTCTAGGTTGCTGTTGGTAGTAAGAGTTTGTATTCTGAAAGTACTTGAAGATTCACAAAGTATTTTCCTCACAATAACCCTGTGAAGTAATAGCCAGTATGAGGCCCATTTCATAGATGAGCTAGACAGGTATGAGGGCCAGCATTCTACCTGACTCTGAGGCAGCAGGCTTCCACCACACATACCAATCACAAAGCTCTTTGGGGTTACAAAGCACTCCATGCCCAGATCTCATTTATATCATCACAACAACCCTGCCACACAGTGAGTCTGGGATTGCAACTCTGTCTGACAGACAAGGAAACTGAGGCTGAGAAAGAATAAGTGATGTCAAACTCAAATAGAAACAGGGCCACTTAACCATACAGAAGGATCCCTGCAGCTGCAGAATGACTCAGAGAACCCCAAATGAACATTACCGATGTTCCATTAGATTTTTATTTTGTTTTGCTCAACATTTCCCCATAACATTTAATCTGCTTCAGCCACATGCAGTAATACTGTGGCAAGAATATTCCAGGCCCCTGCCCCAGACTTCACAGCATGGAAACCTCTCACTGCCAGGCCAGGGCCCAGCATGGCTGCCACACCCACCTTCAAGCTCAATAATCAGAATACTGGCTAGCATTTACACAGGGGCTGAAGGTGTGCAGAGCACTTTAGTCCCCTGGGGGATCTTGGGGGCTCGCTGCCCAACCTTCACAAGGTAAGCCAGGGTAAGCAGCTTCCCAGAACTGCCCAGAGCCCTAAAGTGCCAAACTGTATTTTCAAAAATGGGGGGGGGGCTGAGCAGAAAGCAAGGCATCTTTTCAGCTCTCACCATCTCCACTGTTTAGTCTAATTATCATTCTTCTACCTAATGCATTTGATTGAACGCTGAGCCAGTCTCTCCCATTTACCAGCCAGTAACTTGCCCACCAAGGTGCAGTTCTGAGCTGCGTCCCCACGGGCCATCGGGGAGACAACACCTGCCTAGTGAAGGATATTTATTAACCTTTAACTTGGATCGACAAGCAAACCATTAAGAAAAAGTCATGGCGCTAAATGTCTCACGGAGTTCATTAAGACGCTAAAAAGACCAGCTCCAGAGAGACGCCTCATTGTGCACATTGATTTCTTTCAGGCTGCTTCCTTTCCTGTCCCACCCCCTCCTCCCATCTTGGCAGACTATTGTTTCTCCCACAAACTTTCCAAGGCATGGGGAGCACTGCCCCGATTACCTGTTGGAGTGGTCACTGTGCACTCTTTATACGGCAGCTGATTCAATCCCTCTTCCACAACAAGTCTGATCTGTAGAACAAAAGAAAGAATTATTTAAGATTTAATGAAGGAAGTTACCATCTGCCACATACCAGCCTCTAGTATGTTGGTCTCAAGGACTGAATGCCAGGCATCACCTCAGTATTATCTAAAGTAACACTTGAACCTTTGCGGGGGTTGGTGGGAGAAAGAGGGCCTTACGTGGCACCGTCCACTCCTGTCTTAGAAGCACAGAACATCAGAACTAGGCTCATCTCATCTCAGTCCATCACACACCCTCATTTTACTGAGGAGAAGCTAAGTGACTTGCCCATGCTCATGCAGAGACAAGATCTGAACCCAGGTCCTCTGGCCCCAAATCTGGTGGTATACTCTTCTGCCTTTGACTAAGTGATCTTTATGGCAACTGTGATATTTCAAACAATCTCTTTCCTTCCTTCTGTCTTTCTCTCCTCTCTTTCTCTCTCTCCTCTTTTCTCTCTTTCTTCTCTCTTCTCTTCTCTCTCTCCTCTCTTTCTCTCTCCCCTCTCTTTCTCTCTCCTCTGCTTTTCTCCCTCTCTGTCTCTCTCTCTTCTCTCCTTCTCCCTTACTTAAGTAGAAAAAGACAGCTGGTGTGAAGAGAGGAGCAGGCAGTTCTACTCCCAAAGGCTTCCTGGTGGCTCTTACAGGAGATGAGGAAGAAGAGCTGGGGACAGCCTCCACAAAGAGGAGGGACCTTCTGATGAGAAAAGCAGAGGGGGCACCACTCATTTTCGGCAATCAATGTGACATTACTGATCGAAAAGGAAAAACCAGAGACAAACTTGGGCTTGGGCTCCACTATCCCAAGCCAACGAAGGCTGTGCAGCCATTAAAGGGATCAACGCTAAGCGGTGCAGAGCCCTTTGTCAGCCCCCAGCACTAGGCAGAGGGCCGGAACCCAGGGATCTCAGTATGTCACAGCCTCCAGCTACCACTTTCGAGGAAAATTTCTATTTCACATGAGCAAATTACAAGGCAAAGTCAGGATTCTTTTCTTTGAAGAGACCAGGGCTCTCTGCTGTTCTACCTGCAGAACAAGGTGCCTCCTGGAACCATCCCTTCACTCAGCACCCACCCCCCACATCTCGGCCTGGGACAAACAAATGGCAGAGAATCCTAGTCAGCTCTGACCCCCCGCAACTCAGATGTGACCAGCTCAGTGGCCAGGGAGGGAAATGGAGCTGACTGCAGCCGTTAGACATTTTGCTAGCAGGGGTTCTCATTGGTTGAATAGCTAGCTGAATTCCTCAATACTAGGAACAGGGGCCACTTTCCTGAGACCAGAAACTTCAGGTCAACACTGGGCCCAAGGCCCTGCCCTGAGTAATTCTCCCTTCCAAGATCATTCCTTCAGTCAATGTGCCCCAGGGCCTCAGCTCCGGCGAAGACAGAACGCCTTTCCCACTTCCCAATGAGTGTGGCCTGGCCTTGAAGAAAAGAGCTTCCTTGAGGGAGCACCTGGCTTCTCCTCCATCCTTTCTCACAGCATCCAGCAACCAGTCCCTCCAGGTGGTACAAGGCATTAAAAAGGAAGGCAGCTGAACTGATCTGGGCTTGGTATAGCCCCTGGAGGCCCAGGCAATTTTTACCTTGAAGTCTGGGATGATCAAGAACCCTTGGACATCATTAGTCTATGGCCTCATTTCACACATGAGGAAACTGAGGCCCAGAGAGCAATTTGCCAGGGTCACACGGTAAATGGTAGTCAGGATTTCAAGCCAAATGCAGAAAAGTTGGCTGTGCTCCTTCAGCCTTGAGGAAAACTCAAGTAGAGTAACTAACACCTCCAGAGAGGATAGGGTCTATGATTTTTTTCAATAAAGTTCATTTTCTCTTCCATTATCTGGCTAAAGCTACAAGGCTGAAATATACTGTGTCCTGGCCTTCAAGAAGCATCTTTGGCAAAAAGCCCTGGCCAGTCCCCCCTCCCCCACCTCCAAGTACACCTAAGAAATGCTTGTTGACTGATTCTAAGCAATAAACAACCCTCGTTTTTCTCAATCCAATAGGAGCTCACAACTTTGAAGCCGGTCACATAAAGGAAAGTTAAGGCAAAAGGCTGTGGCCTAACAAACACTCTTCCACATGAGATCAGAGTTATTAGGCCAGGCTAGGATTTGTAGGTAAAACCATTGAAGAGAAACAATTCCCTGTTAGAAGGATGGTACCAGGAAAATGTTTCAACCTACTGTTCAATATATCCATAAGAAAAACAGATGAGAGAGCACTGGTCCTGGAGTCAGAAGGACCTGAGTTCAAATCGGACCTCAGATACTTACTAGCTCTGTGACCCTGGGCAAGTCACTTAATCCCGACTGCCTCCAAAAAAAATGCTAGACAAGAGAAGCAGTAGACAGAACTAAAGCCCCTTCTCTGCCATGATCAAAACCCTCCTTTCTCCTTTAAGCAAAAGCCTTAGTCCTTGGGGGCTGGCTAGCTCCTCCTTTGGCTATACTGGATCCTCCTTTTAATTGCCATGTACGTGGTACTCGCTGCCCTGAGCTCTAAGAATTCCCTGGCAGTTGAGGAAGCAACCAGCCTAGCCTCATTTTACAGAGAAGTCAAACTGAGGTCCAGAGAGGGGAAGCCAATGAGTGGCAGAGAAAAGGCTCAAAGCCACATCTAACTGAGGGACAGTAGGTCCTCAATGCTATAGGAAATGAGTTCACATGAAGGACTTTGGGATGAAAGGGTATAAAGGCCAAATTTTACTCCAACCATAGAAGTAAAACTTCAGGAAGCTCACCAGGCTGGCAACTGACTGGCAATCCCTCCCCCTTACCCTTGGGTAGCATTTGGCAGGTGTCACTGAGTCACAAAAATGAAAAAGAAATGGGCACCCTCCACCTACCAAACGGTCTGCAGAAAACATGAAGTCCCCTCGACTGGCCGTCCTAAAAGAGAACAGTACAATTTTAGTCTAAACAACAACTTTATGGCAAAATATTAATTTATACATATAGTAATAACACTGATTATAACACCTGTTCTGTCTCCTTCCCCCCCACACACACACAGCTAAAATCTCCTATGTGCAATGTCCAGATGTTTACCAGAAACCAGAGAAACCATTTTTATTTAATAAATGGCATTGAAAAATGTCTGTCCAGCATGCCCAGAGCAATCGGGAATTAAAGTGCCCATATCCTGGTAGAAAAAGCTGCCTAAGATCAAGGGGCATCACTAAATCTATGCAGAACACAAATTGTCAAGAAAACTATCCAAACAAAACCAGAATTCTCCCCCTGGCCTTCCTCCATCTTTCCTCTGTCCTAAAAGCCTGTACCAAGAGATCAATAAAGCCCTCCTTTCACCTGTACTTTTCGAGGGCTTTTAGCTCCAAAGCCAAGCTCCCTTTCTCAAGCATTTAATAAGTGCTCCTTATGCCTTTCTTCAAAACCAAGCCCTCCATTTCATAAACCATTTTGTTCTTGCTCTGCTTTTCTCTTCCTATGCATCCATCCTTTCTTACCCTGCAGTGTGTGCCTACCCATGATGAAACTGAGGTTTGTATTCCCACTGTTTAAACCAGAGCTCCATCTTGGGCAGACAGTCCCCCAACCCCATGTGAAAGGTCGTGTTATTGCTATGAGCCAAAACTTGTTCTCCTTATCTCTGGCCAGAGCCCCCACCCCTCCACCAAACTGGCTTCTCTCATAAACACAACCATGTTGTGACTGATACTTGGAATTGATTCACATTCTGTGTATTTATAGATCCCCACCCACCCTGTTCATAGGAGTCCCAAAACACACAGCCCAAGACACCCAAAAAGACATATGTCAAGCACACATTACTTCGGCACACCATTTCTCTCCAGGCTGCAGTAGAATCCACATTCACTTTCTCACACTGGGAGAAGCAGGGGAATGCTATACATGCATACAAAGCCACTGCAGGCCTATTGTAGAGATAAGCAAACTAATTTGGCCCCAGGATGCTTTGGGGCTTGAAATATATCGATGGACCTCAGAAATGCTGGACCAGGGGAAGGGGTGGGCGGTATTGATCACTTCCAGGGGAAAGTCAAGGATATTCTGGAGCAAATAGGAGGAATTACAGAACCTGATAAAATCTCAGAAACCATCTCACTTAACCCCAACCTGAACAAGACTCTCCTTTATAATATATCCAACAAGTGTCATGTAGTAAGCTTACGTCCATTTAAAAAAAAAAGAAACAAAATGTGTTGCACATTAATAGGTATATATGTATATAAAACTCCTGTATTTTTTTTTCTCCATTAAAGCCCTCTTCCGATGCCTCATAATAGTGTGGAGGTGAGCCTGGATTCTGAAAGTTGAAGCCTGTGGATGCCAAGCTCTGGCAGGTCTGACATGCTGGAAACACCCAGGCTGGATAAAAAGGGGCTGGCTTGTCACTAGCAGATGCTCGGTCACCAAGGGGAGCCTTTTCCAGACTACAGTAAGCCTGAGGGTGGGGGGAGGACGTCTTTATTGGGAAGGGTATCCACAACACAAGTACTAACGATATGATTTCTTATTTCCTATTTTTTTGAGGGAAACACAGCATACGCAGCAACATTTCTCACTAATTTCCTAATCACATTGAACAAAACTGTTTAGGTAAGTCCTCTATGATATCAACTATGATAGAACAATCAATATCCCAGGACATAGGCTATATATTCATAATTAAACTACAGTTTCTGAGCCTAGAGGGCTCAGCTCACAAGCACACACACACTTACCCCCTGAATCAGGGCTCACGTCAAGCACCGACTTTCAATGGCCACACTAAACCTTGCCGCCTTTCATTACTATAATCTAGCAAGGAAGGAAAGGGCAGTGAAATACTAATTTCACGTGTAGCCCCCTTGCTCTATTTGCTAGAGCCTGACTAGCTTTTATGTAAGAATTCTTACCAGCAAACAGAGCTCTGACTAGACAATGGAAAGTCTTAAAAAAACATTCTATCATTTTCTTCAAGAAACATAGAATGCATACAGGGCAGCTATATCCCTTGAACCATCTACTTCAATATTCTTCTCTCCTCTAAGTCAGCATCCCTCACTCTGCCGAGTGACCAAAAACTCACAAATCTTTTGTTTTGAAATTGGAAATTAAATGCAAGGCATTTTCCCCTTCCTTCACCTGGAAGCAGCAGCTTCATTGGGTCTGAGTGGAACAAACCCTTTTTCCCATCCTTCAAATAAAAACATCCCATTCCCCACTGCCCTTCACACACACACACACACACACACACACACACACACGACATAGCTCGGCTCAGTCTTGCTGTCTTTCTGTCCCTGACAGGCCCTCCAAGCAAGCACATTTGTGCTGTAGCAAATCGGCATTACTTCGAATAATCACTAGGAATTCAAGTAATTACCAGCCTATCCCCTGCTGCTCTCCAGACTTCAAATCTATGCTCTTCACTTTCAATCAATTTAGAAATTAACATACAGCTAGGATACAAGGTGATCACAGTTTTTAGAACCCAGAGTAATGGCCAATGTCTGTATTAAAATCCATAGCATTGCTGTTCCCGGTCCAAACTTCATAAACACACGGATCAATCAACAAGTCTTTATTGCACATCTGCCGTGGGCCTCTCAGCGGGGACCTGACCTCTCCGAGGCTGGGTCAGGCAATTTGGCTTGGCCAGGTCCTCCTGAGCCAGAAACACCAAGGGACAGACGCAGACTCAGGTGCCACAGTCAGCTGCTGTCATCTCAGAACCAAGCAGGGAGAGGTTAATCGCCCAAAGATAAGCCAACGGGTGAGGAATTCTTTGGCCACAGCAATACATGAAACCATTGACAAAGGCATGAAGAGCCTGCTCTGTGTCGCCCATGCAGATGAAATCACAGAGCTTTTGAAATCGGGAGGCAGCTGCTGCGGGGCGGCCTATTTCAAACAGTCCTCACTAGCCTATCCCCTGCTGCTTTCCAGATCAGCTCCGTTTCACTTTAAATCAATTTCGGAATTCAAATATAGATAGAAGACAATAAGTTGATTACATTTTTTTAAATCCACAGTCACCTTCAGTGCCTACATTTACATTCATAGCAGTGTTGCTAAGGCTGACATTCTGTTAAAGCGAGTGAAGCCACATATTTGTCTGACTGATCAATCAACAAATGTTTACCTTCTATTTGCCCAGTTCTGAGCTTGGCTGTGGTATGGATCTTCTGTTAATGGAGATGCTTTTATGAAAACTAACCCTAGGCCTCATTAGCCACAGAACCTTGGAGGAAAAGCTTAACTCGATTCCTTTTTGCCTTGGAACCACTAAACTGCATTTCTCCTACCGGGAATAAAGCTTTGAAAAGACATTTTAATCATCTTCTATTTGAAAGGCAACCCAGAGAACAACCAGTGCAAAGCAAGATACACACCCAGAATGCTCAAAACCATTTCAATATCGCCTAATATTTAAACAGACAAGAACATCCAGACACTCATAATTCATAGCATGGAAATCAAATTAAACTTTAAGCTGAGTGCCCTTTCAATTGTACATCCTGATTGATGAAGGCGCAGCAGCCATACTGAAAATGCTCCGTTTGCCTCTAATTCCCCAAGCCCCACACGCAGGCAAAGGCAGCCATTTCTTCGGCTACTCCCGAGTTCTAGAGCTAAGCCGACAGCAGGTTTGGGGCTCCCCTGCTTGGTAAACTGGCCTCTCCCCTTCTCAAAAAGGAATCCTGTCCAAATATCCAAAACTCTGAAGAGAGCTGTTAAGACTCTTGTAGTTGTGAGTTTATTATAAAATAGATAGATGCACCCTATAAGAAATTCAGGGAGCTAAAATGTAGGAGAACTACTGATAATAAGATTTTGAAACACCAAAGCAAATAATAATAACAAAATAACAACACCCCTTCTAAAGCATTTACCCAAACCCCACGTAGATTTTTATTAGACTCAATATTTTAATTGGATTTTTTTAAAAGTGAATTGGCATTTTTTAAGTTTTGTTCTTGAAATTTTTCCCCTCATCCTTGAAAATAATATGAAATGACTTCATAGGCATAATGGGTATCATATTTCTTGCCTTCTCAATGGGTGGGGGAGAGGGTGGAGAGGGAGAGAATTTGGAACTGAAAATAAACATTTTAAATTTTTTCAAAAAAGAAAATAATATGAAAAAGTTGAGAAAAACTTTTTTAGAGAACAGATCAATGTTCTCTGCTAAGTTACAAGTGGCCAGGGACTACTTTAGGGTCCCAATCTTAAGGACTCCCAGGGGGCCCCCTATTGGTTTGGAAGGTGAAAGAAAACTACAATAACCAAAAATCATTGATGCTCAGAGTGTGCACAGAAAATCCCATTTAGCAAAACAATGGTCCATTTCTGCTCCCATGTGGACTCATGTCTCCAGAGATAACACGCTTGAGTATATGGATTTGCATATGAAATGAGGGCTCTGAGCCCTTCATTACTAATCCAGAAAAGGGACAAGAGAATTATTGGAGACCACTGTTTTAGGGAAAGTTCCCTACTCTGTAAAATGAGGCACATGGAGCCAGACAATCCCAAAGGTCCCTCTGTCCTAGTTCAGACATACAATGACCCATCAAATAGCTGATATTCCTCATTTTACAAAGCATAACAGGGCTAGAGAAGAGCAAATGTCACCATTTTCCAAAAAAGAGACTAGACCAACTTAGCCTGAACTCTAGGCCAGTGAGCCCAAATTCCATTTCTGGCAAAATTCTAGAACTTGTTATTAAAGGAATGGAGGACAGATAATAAAGAAGCACTAAACTGGCAGATGATCGAAGTGCTACAGACACGTTTTTCTTGGATTTTCGCAAAGCACTTGATAAAATATCTCATGTGATTCTTGTGGAAAAGATGGAGAGATGTGGACAAGGAAAAAACCCAATTAGGTATATTCAGAGCTGGTCAGACTTAAAGAATAC